ATAGTCTAGGCAATTAGGGATGTGCAATAAATACTGGCCTAGCCAGAGATGCCAGCATTCTGTGAGTGAGTGAAAAAAAAAGCCATGTACTGCATTCCCAATTTGCACTTTTAATTACTGGATAATCCCTTTTTTTCTGCTTTGAATTATGTTTTTGGCTTTATTCTGGTTTTCCTCTCTGCCCAAACACACATTTTGCTGCAGAACAGACCTGCTGGAAGTGTCAATAGTCAGTAAACAATAGATGCACCAAGGAGGCAGGATGCAATGTCGATAGCTTTATTGATTCAAAGGCACTTTCTGATTGATTCACCAGCATTGCCAACAAAACAACCTTGAGGAGGTTTGAGAAATACCTTGAAGAAACACTTCAATTTACAGAAATTCAAACTGACACTTGTCACCCAATGCCACCTGTACCTGGTACCAGAACTAGTTTCAATGTAACAAAACCCATCAGGAAACTGATTCCAGTATTTACAGGGAAGGCAAAACTGTGCGATACAATTGACTACAACAACTTTTGAGAATGTGAATATCTCAAATGCAATTTTTCTGGTTCCTATTAATTGGGCCATCTTTATTTCCAGCTAGTTAATCTATTTCCCTGTTCTATCATCTCTAATGTTTCCTCACTTTGGTATTTTTTTTAAGAGCCCTGTGCATTGCAAAAGGAAAGAGGTGATTTTTGCTGTGATGTTGCAATCCTATTTGGAAGTTTGATTTTAATTGTGATGTTTTCCACACAACGCTTTTCCCCTTCATGTCTTGTCAGGAAGAGTCTTACACTGTCCCTGTTTATAAGTAACTTTCTTCCCCTTTCTAGTTTGCCCCTAACCTAGTTGTTGGCCTCAATCTGCCAATCTTACTCTACAACATTCCCTGGGAAGTGGGTTAAAACTGATTATCTGACCAAGCAAAATTCTTTCTTTGACTGTGAAGAATTGACTGATCTCCACCTTGATTTTTGATTTCAAAAACTTGGAAGTCACTTACAAAAGACAAGCTTGCAAACAGTTGGTGAGATATTGGGACTCGTCCTCCAGGGTCACTAGAACTTCCTTCTTGTCACCTTCAAGAGCTAAAGTGGAATTTATTTGTTATAATGACTGCTGCTGGTTGGGGAGCATTAGGCATCTTCATTGCAATACAGCTGAATAGGACGAGGCTTGATAGATCAATACGTGATTTCCTGTCACAGCTGACGCTGACGCTCCTACTACTGAGGGAGTGTTGCACTGTCAGAAATGCCATCTTCAAGGTTATCTATTAAGCTGAGTCTCCATGTACCCTCCCAGGTGGATTGATAAGATCCCATTCTATTATTTCAACAAGGAGACTGGGAATTTTATCTAGTGTTTTGTCCAATATTTATCTCCCAATCAACATGACTAAAACAGATTATTTGTCCATGGAATAAGAGATAACAAGGTGCAGAGCTGGATGAACACAACAGGCCAAGCAGCATCAGAGGAGCAGGAAAGCTGACGTTTCAGGTCTGGACCCTTTCTGAAGAAAGGGTCAAATTCAAATCACAACCATGACAGGATTTGAACCCAGGTCCCCAGAAGATTCACTGAGTTTTTCTGGATTAATCGTCTAGAGACAATGCCACTACCCCACTGCTATGTCCAAGTTGGCTGCTGTGTTTCCTACTTTATATCTATGACTACACTTTTAATATATTTTGTTGGCTGCAAAGAACTTTGGGATATTCTGAGATCATGAAAGGTGCTACATAAATGCAAGTTAATATTCATCCCCAGCCTCCTCTTGTGGGAGTATCATGGGTACAAAGTTCTGCCTTATCACTGTAGACCAAAAACCATGTTATTACCATTCACATTATCTCTCTGCATGCTGGTCTTTTCTTATGCTGCAGTTGACCAGTTTTCTATACTGAGAAACAACTACAGAAAAAGCTGGAGAAACTCAGCAGGTCCAGTATGATTCTTCTTCAGACTCTTGAACAGTGATACTGGGCTCAAAACATTAACTCTGTTTCTCTCTCCACAGATGCTGCCAGGCCTGCTGAGTTTCTCTAGCATTCTCTGTATTTGTTTCACTTTTCCAGCACCACAGCGTTTTGCTACTATTTTTTAAAATGAGACTCTGTTTGTTTTAAATGATAGTTTTGGAACTAAAAAAGTTAATATGTAGCTAGTTCAGCAAATAAAATATTCAGATCAGATCACATTTAAATCAATAGAAGCTTGAATATTGTAGGACTCTAAAATGCTAGCAATAATTATGTGGAACACTGATTTTTGAATTATTAATTCATTTCATACTCATTGTGCAAACAATAGCACAACTTCCATTAGCAATTACAGTAATTCCACCCATCCAATCATTTCCTACATTCTCCTCTCCTGAAAGGATAAACTCCAGAGGTATGTTGCCTTATATCTCTCTCAGTGGCTCTTCAGCTGTTTGAATCCGAGAGTCCACAGGTGGCTTAACTGAGCTGCTTCAAGTTCCAGATTCTCAAATGACCAAACACCTACATCATCTAAGGTAGAAGCCAATGTCCTGTGATGCAGTGAGAATTTCCTCCCTTTGTTTAGAGCAGCAAGGCTAACTGTAGAATGCTAACTGGTGGCCCCTCTGAGATTTTTTGGGTAATATAACTGCTGATGCTGGAGAATCTGAGATAACAAGGTGTGGAGTGGAGGAACACAACAGGCCAGGCAGCATCAGAGGAGCAGGAAAGCTGACGTTTCGGGTCGGGACCCTTCTTCAGG